TCTGGAGCGACCTTGAAACAACAAATAGGCACTTGTTGGGGGAAAATGACCAGGGGATTCCCATCAAAGGAAACACGTATCCAGAGGTGCAGAGCTGTACATGAGCATAAGAAGTGACCAGAGGAGGTTCATCTCATGTGATGAAGGCATTGTTAATGGTAATAAGAACAATGAAAAAGGAAGACATAGCTAGTTTTTTTTTTTTGAATGCTGGTACTTTACATACTATCTTAGGTGAATTCTCTTGAAGTAGAGCTGAGACGGGGATTCCCACAAGAGTGACTTTTGAGAAGTGACTCCAGAGAAGGGGAAGGAGGGGAGCCGGACAGGGCGGAGACAAACGAGGTCGTAGCTGGATTCAGCTGGAGCTCCCCGGGGAGCAGCCACGCTGCGGCACCCTTGAGACAAGGGGCATGGTCTTCTAGACCATCTCCCATTTCCCTTCCCAGTTCATGGTTCCCATTTGGCAGAGAATTCTCTAGAGAAGGGGCAGCTGTGACTAGCTAACTGCCAACACTGCAACACAATGGGTGTCCTGGGCTGGGGAAGGGAAGCTGCGAGGGAGGTACCACCAGAATCCACATCCCACATCTCATTTACTTCTCAAACACCTTACGAGGCAGGCATTAGTCCTCCCATTTGACAGAAAGCTGATGTAACTTACGCAACGGCGTCTGGCTGGGATGTGGAAGACTGGAATTTGAATCCAGGGCTGCTGAGACCCAAGCCCAGTTCCTTTCCTCTTCACCCTCATCCCAGGAAGAGTCTCTTCCCGGGTCATTTAATCAGGAAATGTCAATCCCTGTGCCCCTGAACAGGGAATCCTCTCGAGAGGCAGAAGAGCTGATCTCTACCAGGCCCTGCACCCCTAGAAGCTGCTGGTGGGCTGGAAGCCATGCCTGACAACTGCATCTCGGTCTCAGACAATCCAAGCAAGTCTGGTCCAAAACAAACTCAAGGTCCAGGGAGAAGGGGGAAATGAAAATATGTGAAACTAAGGCAGCCCTGTGGCAGTTTTGCGGAGACTTGCAAAAATCGAACAATGGAGCATGCATTTGCAAAAGAAACTTCAAACCCATGAGAGCTAGTTTGAAAGTTTTTATAAAGGGACACAGTTGGCTAATATACATCCTATAGGAACCTCTGTCTCAGCTACAGTTTCTAAATAAAGAAGACGGTCTTTCAAGAGGAGGTTACATTACAATAGCCAAGACATGGAAGCAACCTAAATGTCCATTGACAGATGACTGGATAAAGAAGAAGTGGTATATATACACAATGGAATACTACTAGGCCATAAAAAAGAAAGAAATAATGTCATTTGCAGAAACATGTATGGACATAGAGATTATTATATGTGAAGTAAATTAGAAAGAGAAAGACAAATATCACATGATATCACTTATACGTAGAATCTTAAAAAATGATACAAATGAACTTATTTGCAAAATAGAAAGAGACTCACAGGCATAGAAAACAAATTGATGGTTACCAAAAGGGAAAGGGGGTGGGGAGGGATAAATTTGGAGTTTGGGAGTAGCAGATACAAACTACTATGTATAAAACAGATAAACAAAAAGGTCCTACTGTATGACACAGGGAGTATTCAATATTTTGTAATAACTTATAATGAAAAAGGATATGAAAAAGAACATATATATATAAAACTGAATTACTATGCTGTACACCAGAAACTAACATGACATTGTAAATCAACCAAACTTCAATTAAAAATAGAGAGAGACGGTTACAATGAAGAGCAGATTTTTAACATGATAAAATTGGACTTTCTAGAAGCAAATGTCTTCCAGAAATGGCTTCCTGCTTATGTCCAGAGCTTTGCACATAGTAGGTGCCCATTAAACAGTTGGTGAATGGATGAAGCTTGTATTTAACTATATTTATAAAATGCATTTCATGCCACTTAGACTGTTTATCCTCTGAACCTCCTATCGGCCAGGAGACCTTCATTTGCCTGTATGTTTACAGCAATCCTTTAGTAAATGAGAAAACACAACTCCTGAAGTTGATGAGGCCACACAGTGTGACAGGGTGCTCATGTGCGCCTATGGGTCCAAGCAAGCACTCCAGGGAAAGGACTGGAAGGAAAGATACAGAAGTTTTGCCAGTAAGAACTGCAGAGGCCAGTGGAGCACCACCAAGTCCCGGGGAGCTGCAGGTCCCGGAGAAGTCTTATTCTTCAGCAAAATCAGCATGAACTACATTCCACATCTTTCCCGTATGTGATAGTTTTGTTAAAAGGCCACAATACTTTGCAAGTGCCTCCCATCAACAGGTAGAGTCTCCTTCCTCATTCCTTGACTCTAGACTGGCCCTGTGACTTGCTTTGACCCACAGAATGTGCCAGAAGAAGTTTAGTCAAAAGCCTAAACCTTAAGAGGTCTTGCAGCTTCTGCTCTTGCTACTCTGGGAACTCTTCTCCCACCACACGAGCAGCCTCAGGCTAGCCTGCTGGAGGGCAAGAGACCGTGTGGATAGAAGTGAGCCCCCCATGCCAATCAGCCTGCAGCTGACCTGGCAGCTGACTGCTGCCACTTAAATGATCCCAGCCATGACCAGAAGAGCCACCTGGCCAACCTCAACCAAACTGCCACGCCATGGAATCACGAACTAGATAAATATTTGCTGTTTTAAGCCACTAAGTTTTGGGAGTGCATGTTATGCAGCAATAGCTCACTGATATACTATAAGCAGTCTAGATTGTAATCACTAAGTCTGTTCCCAACAAGGTTGGCTTGGGTCACCAGGTGAACTCAGTCAATCTCAGGGAATCCTGAAATCTTCTTTATAAAGTTCAAAGTTAGGGAGACTCTCTGTGTGACAGCACAAGAGACTTGGAAGGATCCTTAGGGAGTCCAACCACCTCGTTGCACTGTTAAGGAAATATATTTGTTACATAATTATTTCCTGAATAAGAGAGATCAGATCCTGCTCCCAGGGAGGTCACGGTCTAGGATGGAAATCAGATGTTAACCAAGTCATCACACAAGTAAGCAGACAACCACAGTGACAAACACTGTGAATTAAAAGGACATGGCACTGTGAGAGAGAATTATGGGGAAGGGACCCAAAGCCCTCTAAGGAAGTGACATTTAGGCTGAAGCACGTGGCTGCCTTGAGGTGGAAATGGAGCTCTCCACAGACACAGCAAGGTAACAGGTGGAGCTTTGAGTCCCACTGTGTGGGCTCAAATTTCATCTGTACTGCTCCCTGGCTGAGTCAACCAACGTCCTTGGGCCACAGCTGCCTCATCTATGAAATGGGTTAATGACACTGTCTTACTTCTTTGTGATACTTCTCAAGGCTGTTGTGAAAGTCAGTTGAAATAACCATTGAGAAAAGGGCTTTACAAACTGGCAAGCATTGGGTGAACAGCTGAGGCTGCAGCTAGCAGCTTGACGGGACATTTATTTATCCTTACCTCCCCTCTGAAGGACTGTGCCCCACCTCTGCCCAAGCCTATACCAGACGCAGAGCCTTGCGGAGTCCCGTGTGCCCTTCTTGGTGGAAGCACAGCGCCAACAATCTCCAGCAGGGACTGAGCCGGCGCTGACCCTACCATCGTACGGTTCTGAGAGCCAGGGCTCAGGATGTTAACAAGATGCAACTGAAATACTGTGAAGGGGCTCAGATGAGATGTTCAGGGGTAAGCGCTAGGACAACCACATTTCCAAGTAGATTATGGGCAATTCAGTGACTTCCGTGATCTCGTCCAAAATGAGCATTTCCAGGACTGGAGTTCTGCCCACCAGTGTCTTGCAGCCTGGCACAAGTCAGTGCAATATTAAGGCAGCTTTTCAGCAGCCCCCTTGGTGCTCATGCGGCCACAGGCCAGAGACGGCACGTGGATGGCGGCCCCAGCAGGCGCACACCTGCCGTGGCAGCGCCCTGAAACGGAGCTTCCACACCACATGGGGATGACAGTGTCTTCTTCCATCACTTGTTCCCTAAAGGCCACAAGCCTGTGTCTCAGTCATCTATGTCCCTCATGGGATGTCTCACATAGTAGGGCACAGAAATGTTTGTGAATTAATAGGCTTCTGTTTCCCCAGCTGGAAAATGTGGTCCCAGCCACCCAGCTTGGACTGCTGCACCACCACGACTACACAGCCAGAGGGTGGACAGTAGCCCCAGGGACAGGCTTGTCCTCCAGCTCCCAGGTTTTTCAGCAGCTATGAAATCCCTCGCCCCTCCATCCAGCACCCTGAGCTTCTGCCACCCAGCAGGCACCATTGCTTTAGGGAACCATCTTCCAGGATGTTTGTGGGACCCTCCTTGGGACCCTTGTTTGTGGGGTCCTCCTTGCAGTGAGGACATTCTCTGACATCCAAGACCATAGTGAGGATGCTCTCAATGGAGAGAAACCTTCGTTTTCAGAGACCAGGCTCCCAGTGGAAAATCTGTCCAACTGGCATCTGAGATTCCCAGTGGGCTGGGCTGGGGCTTTCCCAGAGATGACTCAGCCCCTCTCACCACCAAGAAGGACCACACAGAAAGCCTCAGCTGTCTTCCCAGTTGTGACACGTCTACAGTCCTCCCCGGTGGCGTCAGACAACTCCAGGTGAGTGGGAGAGCCCTGCACACCTATGTATGGGTGTGAGCACCTCTGCACCATCGTAAGTATGGGTGCTAGGTGGCAGTAGGAGGCAGGCAGCACCAAGGAACATGAGACATCTCTACCCACTGTCACTGAAAATTTCCCCTCTGCGCATGGAGAGTGTAGACAACACATTTGGAGTTTTATCAAGTTTTCAATGATGCCCATTTTAAGCCAACAATGGACAGACAGTTGATTTACAGAAAACTACTACTGTCCCAGTTTGATTGCCCACTTGAAGGGGACTCAACTCATATTCTTGATCAACCAGAGAAAGGACAGTAGTGGGCTGTGCCCCCTGCTCTGCCCTCTTCCCATTCCATTCCAACAGCAGCTGGGCTCCAGCCAGCCCAAGGCTAGACAAGGAGGACAGGGCACCCACCTGGCTGGTTGATAGGAGCTCTGGGTTTCCGTCACTCATCCCCACGTAGGCACTGTCACCATCAAACTGGAACAGAGAAAGAGAAAGAGAGGCAGCTCTGATGAAAATATTCTCAAGAAGGCTCCAGGAGAAGTGAGAGGAAGTCAGGGGAATAAAAGCATTGAGGGGGAAAGACTTTGGGGCCTGGAGAAGCAAAGACAGAGCCCAGGATGCCCAGTTCCCAATTCAGCAGGGCTCCCTCTAGGGTAGAAGGAACAGTCCTTGTTCTGTGGCCCCAAGGGCTTGGGTGAGTGCCACTAAACACACTAAGGATGCAGAGAGAAAAATCCTTCTGCCCTTCATAAGTTGTCCACAGATGTGGCAGGTTGCCTTGTCAGGTACTGAGTTCCCCATCTCTGGAAGTACGCAAATATTTCTCCTGGCCAAAATGACATCAGGCTCTCAGCCAGAGCTGGAATTCCACATGCTGGAGGGGAGCCAGGACCTCCAGAGCCTTGAGGTCTGCCCCAGGCCTGTCCTCCAGGTCTTACCATCCCAAGTGGCTCTGCCCCCTCACCTTTGCCCCTGAGGCCACCCCAGGCCAAAGGCAGCGAGGACTGTGGTAGGAACCACGTGCAGGAACCCTGTGTTCGGAGAAGCTGCCAAGTCTGGAGTCGGGAAGATTTATCTGCAACAGGGAGCAGGTGTAGTGGGGAAAGCGGGGGCTCTGGGGTCACTGGCTCCCCCTTTTCCCTGATGTGTGATCCTGAGCTGGTGTCTGAATTTCTGAGGTGATTCGTCTGTCAGATGACAGCATTCCTGTCTCCATGGGATGTTGCACTGAAACTCATACAGCACTTGGCTCAAGTCCAGGTCCCTTCCCTTGAGACCAGTGTCTTGGGTCGGGTTCTATAGAAGTAGAGCCTGAGACCAGAATTCAGAGGCATGTGATCTCTGAGACAGGCCCTTTAGGAATAAGCTGTGAGGGAGGGAGGGAGGGATCGGGGAGGATGGGGAAGGAGCAAAGCAAGGACGCAGTCCCAGCTGGAGGCTCGTGCAGCCTCGGCCCACCGCAAGCTCCGGGGCATGAACGGTACCCCGGAGTCAGTCCCGACGTGAAGCAAGGGGCCGCGCTTCTGTAGCCCGTGCACATCAGTCACTGGCTGTGGGCTGCCCTTAAGGGACAGAAGGAGTCGTGACTAGAGCAGGGTGGCCCCAATCGGCCAAGGGCAGTTGGCCAGAGAACTGTGCCAGCTGTGGGCCATTTACAGCCAGTGCTCGCAGCAGATGGAAGAAGCCTGCGCTGGGCGGTAAAGGGATCTGGGTGGGGCACCAACAGTGGGTGGCCACTTCATTGTAATTGAAAAAGATTTTATTAGATTATATTCATATGGTTCAAAATTCCCAAAGCACACAAAGTGACAGAGGGAAAAGTCGCCTCCCTGCCACCTCCCAGACATCCACTGCCCCTCTCCAGAGACAACCATTGCACCTACCAGCCTCCTGCAGTCCTTTCAGAGATAGCCCACGTGTACACAGTACTCATCTCGTTCACACCAATGACAGCGTACTATACACACCATTTTGCACCTTATTTTTCTCCTAGCAACACATCCTGGAAAGTGTTTTATATCAGGACATAATTTCATCTTCTGGCACCTAGTATGCCACCAGCAGGGCTGTCACACATATTTAACCAGTTAAACGCCTGGGCAACTGAGTTGTTTCCAGTCCTCTGCTATCCCAATGTTGCTTCCGAGAATTTTTGTACATCCACCATCTCGCATGGGTGTGAGTTTATCTGTAGGATTAGTTTGTATCATCACTGCACGCAACTGTGTGTGCATCTGTCGTTTGGATGGACAGCGCCAAACAGCCCTTGCGGAGGCTGGAAAAGTCCGCATTCCCACAAGCATCAGTTCATCCAGACCCTCTTCGCCCAAAGAGGCTTTCCTAACGACTGGCTCAGATGTCCCACGTCCGTGGGCTCTGAAGCCCACCACCCCCAACTCCCTTGCCCGGCTTGTCCCTGTTCTTTGTTCCAGAGCCCCTGTACCTTCTAGCTTTCTACATAATTTACTTATTTACCACGTTCACTGCTCGCAGTTGGAGTCCCCCGAACGAAAATGGAGGCTCTTGGAGGTCAGGGGTCTTAGCCTGTATGCTGATGCCTCCCAAACACCTAGAAGAGTGCCTAACACAGTGTAGATAATAAATTCTTGTTGAATGAATGAATGCATGAATGAGCTACACCATTCATGTTGTCTTTACCAGGCCAATCTTTCCACTGGGGCAGTGGCGCTCGGGATTACACCCAAGTGCTTTCCCAGCACAAGGATGGGCAGAGTCCTTCGGGGACTGCTGCATTAGCAAAAGAAAAGGCCAGGCCTAGAGTCTGGGAATGACCCCAAATGCAGGGCTCCACCCCCTACACTGTACCCAGAGCTCAGGCTTCAGGGCTGTGCTCAGAAACACCTCCTCCAGGAAGCAGGCCATGCTCTCACCTCCTTTAGCTGCCCCTCTAACAACAGAGATTGTCTTCACATCTGTCTTCTGCCCCAGCGTGGGAACAAAGCGGAGGCTGGAATTGCATCCTGGTCCTCTCCAAATTCCCAGCGCCTGGCACAGGCCGGCGTCAGGAACGGGACTACAACTTGGGCAGGGCAGAGAGCTCTCAGCAAAAACTCCTGGCTACTATCTGATGTGTCATCGTGGCCATATATTCTTCAATAAAAATAAGACCTTTTGAAAAATCACACATAATTTATAAGTATGTCCTAAAAGAAAGAATGATGGAAAGTGGAGGGGGACTAAGTTTAACCAGATATTTGAAATATTTTATAAATATTATAAAGCAATAGTAATCAACCAGTATGATATAGCTCTAGATACAGGAACATGTATTAAAGGAGCAGAGGGCAAGATGTCCCCCAAAGCCTGTGTAACAGCCCATTTATTAAATGCTGGTTAGAATGGAGCCACTGCAAAGTGGGGGGGGGGGCGGTCTGCTCTCTCCCCTGACGTGCACAGCAGGCACTGAACAAATATTTGGTGAATGAATGAATATACTTGGCACTGAGCAAAATGCTTTCCATAAAAGATCTCATTTAACCCTCAAAACAACCAGTGAAGCAGGTATTAGTTTTCCTTGTCTCCAACCAAGGACACAGGTTGAGAGGATAAACAGTTGCCCAAGAGGCCCCAAGGTGTGCTGGTGGGGATTCTGTTCTTTGCCCACCTCTGCCCAGCGCTCCACCACCTCCGAGCCCTTGTAGACGGAAGGAAGGAGGGAAGGGAACCCTGAAACCTCCCGGGCATCCCCTGGCTTGGTCCCCAGGGCTCTACAGCCTGGGACTTACCCCCTCAGTCCTTCTCTTGGGAGTGGGGGGTTTTCTGGGGGAGAGAACTTGCAAGCCAAGAGGAGAAGTCACAAAGCTTGGGCACAGCAGCGCCAACCCCTCCTCCACGTGCACAGAAAAGATGGAAAA